GGGTCATATGGCTGTGTGTGTGTGTGTGTGTGTGTGTGTGTGTGTGTGTGTGTGTGTTTTAAGCCTTTTAGAAACTGTCAACTTGTTTTCCAAAGCACTTGTACCATTTTGCATTCTCATTAGTAATGCAGGAGAATTCCAATTACTTCACATACTTTCCAGCACTTAGTATCATCATTCTTTTTAATTTTAGCCACTAACAAGTATGTCATGGCATCTCATGACTTTAATTCCTGTTTCCTTAATGACAGTAATCTTTTATTTGTTTATTTGCCATATTTTCTTTGGTTAAATGTTCATTAAAACCTTTTGCTCATTTTTAAAATTGGGTAAGTTTTAGCGAAATTCAAGATATATATTCTGGATACCAGTGCTTTATCAGATATTTCATTTACAGATGTTTTCTTCCAGTATGTGACTTGTCTTTTTATTAACAGTATATTTTGAAAAAGAAAAGTTCTCAATTTCGATGAAGTCCAATTTATCAACTTTTTCTTTTATGGATTGTACTTCTGGTATATGTATCTAAGAAATCTTTGCCTAAGCCAAGGTCACAAAGATTTTCTCCTATATTTTCTTTTAGAAGTTTTGTAGTTTTAGGTTTTTCTTTTAGGTCTATGATCTATTTTGAGTTAATTTTTGATACAGAGAATGGATCAAAGTTCTTTTAAAAATGGATATCCAGTTGTCCCAGTACCATTTGTTGAGAGGACTGTTCTTTCTCCAGGGAATTGCCTTTGCACCTTTGTCATAAATCATTTGCCCGCATATGTGTGGGCTTATTTCTGGATACTCTGTTCTGGTTCCATTGATCTTTATATCTGTCTTGATGCTTATGCCAAGCTTCTTTTTTACTTTTTAAAAATAATTAAAAAATTTTTTTTAATTATAGTTGACATAAATATTATATTAGTTTCAGGTAGAACGTAATGATCAGACATTTATATAACTTGAACAGTGATCACTCTGATGAATCTAGTACTCATCTGACAACATAGTTATTACAATATTATTGACTATATTCCTTATGCCATACTTTACATCTTCATGACTGTTTTGTAACTACAAATTTTTACTACTTAATCCCTTCCCCCTTTTTCACCTAGCCCCCAAAATCCCCTTCCCATCTGGCAACCATCAAAATGTTCTCTGTATCTATGCATTTGTTTTTGTTTTGTTTATTTTGTTCATTAGATTCCACATATAAGTGAAATCATATGGCATTTGTCTTTCTCTGTCTTGATTACTGTACCTTTATAATAAGTGCTCACATCAAATAATGTGAGTCCTCCAACTTTGTTCTTCCTTTCAAAGTTGTCTTGGGTATTCTAAGTTCTTTGCATTTCCATATGAATTTGAGTCAGTTTATCAGTTTCTATAGAAAGGCCTGCTGGAATATTGATTGGGATTGCATTAATCTGTAATGAATTTGGGTAAAATTGATATCTTCACAGTATTGAGTTTATTGATTCATGAACTCTTTGTGTATCCCCATAGGTTTAGGCCTTTAAAAATTTCTTCTTAGTAATATTCTGTAATTTTCAGTGTATAAGACTTACACATCTGTCATTAGATTTGTCCCTAAGTATTTCCTATTTTTTGATGCGATTGTTATGGTAATTTTTTAATATTTAAGTTTCTGGAAGAGTTTGTATGGAATTGGTGTTATTTCTTCCATAAATATTTAGTAGAATTTTCCAGTGAAGCCATCTGGGCTAGGAGTTTTCTTGGTGTGAAGGTTTTTAACTAAAAATTCAATTTCTTTAATAGCTATAATGTTATACAGGTTATTGATTTCTTTTTGAATGAGCTCTGGTAGTTTGTGCCTTTCGAGGAATTTTATATGTGCTTATTTGCCCTATATTTCTTCTTTGACTCATAGGATATTTAGGCATGTGTCCATACAATTGGGGGGATTTTCAAGATATCTTTATGCAGTTGATTTTTTATTTAATTCAGTTGTCATCAAACAATATACTTTGTATGATTTAGGTCATTATATGTTTACTGAGATTTGTTTAACAGCCCATAATATCTGTTATGGTAAATATTATGTATGCATACGAAAAGAATTGTATATTTTGCTGTTTTTGGGTGGAGAGTGCTATAAATGTTGGTTAGGTCCAGTTGGTTGATAGTGGTGTTCAGGTGTCTGTGTCCTTGCTGATTTGTCTGCTTGTCCTGTCAGTTATTGAGAGAGGAGACTGAAATCTCTGACTATATTTATGAGTTTGTCTATTAGCAGTTACTACAGTTTTTTGTTCGTATTTTAAAGCTCTGCTATAGATACATAAACATTTAGGATTATTGTTCTTTATCATTATTAAATCACCTTCTTTATTCCTGGCAATATTATATGCCTTTCAGTCTGCTTTGTGTGGTATTAATATAACCACTCCAGCTTTTGGTCAATGTTAGCATGCTATGTCTTTTTCCATGTTCTATTTTCACCTATTTATGTCCTTATGTAAAGTGGGTTTCTTTTAGGCAATATATAGTTGGGTCTTGCTTTTGTACCTGTGTTATAAATTTGCCTTTTAATTGGGGTGCTTGGATCACCCCATATGGTTATCAATTAGGCAGAATTAATCAAAATCTATCATTTTGTCATTTATTTTAAATTTGCACCATCTGTTGTTTGTTTCCTTTTCTTTCTGCCTTCTTTTGGGTTTATTTTTATTCCGTTTTGTCGTCTTTGTTGGGTTACTTGCTGTAATTCTTGTGTTAGTTTAATGGCATTTATCTTTAACTTATTACAGTTTACCTTCACGTGACATATCACTTTAGGAGCATTACAACAGTATGCTCCTGCTTCTCTAATAACTTTTGTTGCTGCTGTTGTCAGAGTTTTACTGCTACATATATATAAACCCTGCAATATAGTATACATGTTTTGCATTAAATAATTCTAGGTTAACTTATTTTTCCTTTCAGAACTTAAAAGAATTTCTCCACTGTCTTCCAGCTTGTATTGTTTCTAATGAGAAATCTACTGTCATTTTTATCTTTGTTTCTCTGTGTATAATGTTTTTTTTTTCCTCAGACTACTTTTAAGATTTTTTCCTTTATCACTGGTGTTAAGCAGTTTGATTATGATATGTCTTGGAGTAGTGTTCTTTATATTTCTTGTGTTTGGGATTCATTGAGCTCTTGGATCTGTGGGTTTATAGTGTCCATCAAATTGGGAAACTTTTCTGCCATTGTTTCTTCAACTGTTTCATCTGTTCCCCCCTCTAAGTACATATATTTTAGGATGCTTGAAGTTGTCCTACAGCTCACAGTTCATTTCTTCTAGCCGTTTTTTTCTTTCTGTGTTTTAATGTAGCGCATCTTTATTGTCTTCCAGTCACTAGCTTTTCCTCTACAAAACTGAATCTATTAATCTTACACAGTATATTTTTCATCTCTGGCACTGTACTTCTCATCTCCAGAAAGTTAGTTTCTTTTTAAAAATCTTTCATATCTCTACTTAATTTTCTCTCTAGCCTCTTGAGCATTTGCAGTACAGTTATAACATTTCACGTACTTGTCTGTATTCTCATTTGTACCATTTCTTGGTCAGTTTTGAGTGAGTGAATTTTTTCTCATTTTGTTTATAATTTCCTGGGTTTTTTTGTATGTCTGGTAATTTTTTATTGAATGCCAGACTTTATGAATTTTGCCTTTTTTGCTGCTGCATATTTTTGCATTTCTATAAATATTCTTGAGCTTTGTTGTAGGATATAACTTGGAAACAACTTGATTTTGTCAGCTCTTGCTTTTACTCTTTGTTAGGCAGGACTGAGCAGCTTTTAGTCTGGAGATCATTTTCCCCCACTAACGAGGCAAGACTCTTCTGGGTACTTGTCTCAGTGCCCCACGAATTATGAGTTTTTCCAGTCTGGCTCCAGAATAGGCACTGTTCGTGGCCCTGCTGAATTTCTTTGGTTCGTTCCCAGGCCTAGAGTAGTTTCCTCCCACCCAGCACTGATCAGCACCCTGCTCACCGCCCCGGGGGTCCCTCTGTATATCTCTGGAGTCTTGTCTGTGCAGCTCTTTCTTCTCGTGTGCTCTCCAGAGCACTGTCCTATGAGCACTACCTGCCTTGGTTTCCCTGTTTTTAGTTGCATCCACTCAGCCCCAAGAGTCTTCTGGGCACTGGGCGTCCCTCTCCCTGCTCTGCAGCCTGGAAATATTCCTCAGGTGGTAAGGTTCACTCGTGTTTTCTGACCTGAGATCATTGTCCTTCATTGTTTGATGTCCATTGTCTGGACAACTGGTGTTTTCTTATATTTTGTCCTTAGTTGTTTCAAGTGGGTGGTTACATTTGTCCCTGTAACTCCACTCTTCCTGTGTCATCATTTTGGTGTGCAGGACTCCATCCCTCACACCTCATTGTTTTTCCTTGGTTCCAAGGTTTGCCCATTTATCAACTGCCACCTTGGTTCCAGAGCCTGCTGGCTTTTCCTTGAAGGATCAGAGAGAGAGTAAATATTTTTGGCTTTGCGGGTCATGTAGTCTCTCTTGCAGTCACTCAGCTCTGCTGTTACAGCTCAAAAGCAGCCCTAGACAATACATACTTGTGGCTATGTTCCAATAAAACTTAGTTTTGAAAACTGGTGGGAAGAGTAGGAATTGGCCCGTTGGGCTGTAATTTACCAACTCCTTGCCACAGTTCAAGACCTTACTTTGCCGAGTTATTCAATATTTTTGTCTGGTTCCCCTATTTTAATTAACTGTTTTCAGAAACTTTTGCCAGTTATATCTGCTTAAAACACAAATCTTATCACGTTACTTATTGGTTCCCTACAACATACCAAATAAAGGTCAGAATTATGTTCCCTTCAGAATTTCCACAATCTGACCCTTCTTATATTTCTGATCTTATCTCCAGTTATTCCTCATCTGTCATCTCACACAGTCTATTTAGCATGCTATACTACCCCGTGATATTTCCTTAAGCCTGCTTTTTCTGAACTGCTCTTCCTTTCCTGTTACATTTTAGGTAACTTCTGAAGCCATCGACCTGCCTTGGGAGCCCTGTTCACATCCCACCTTCTTTAAGAAGCATTCCAGAGCCCTGAGGCGGAGGCAGTTTCTCCTTCCTTCATGTTTTAGCACGTTGTTTGAACGCTCCTGTGGTGGTGACCTCTGTTTGCGCTTTGTCAGAAACCCCAGTGTGTGTTGATGTATGTCCTCTCTGTTGACCCAGAATCCCTCAGGAGGTGAGAGGTGTGCCCTCTTATTTCTGTCTACTCTGCAGGGCAGCACAGAGCCTGACATGTGGCAGTGTGTGTTTGAGGTGGCACATAAAGATCTGTGTCTTGAGGGGTGCGATGCTCTGGGGACTTGTGGTGTTGTGGGCACAACTCTTGGCTCCTCCCTGGGGCACACATGCAGGCCCCTGGGGAGGCAGGCTGTGGGCAGGCTGCCTGGTGTCTGGCTTACGCTCATGGGGACCAGGCAGTGGCAGGACCGGGTGGTGGCAGGCCTGGCCACTCCAGGTCTCCACTGCTACTGCCACTTCCTCAATGGCCTCTTGCCCTTTGGTTCCACAGAGCTGCGGTGCAACCCTGGGCAGTTTGCCTGTCGCAGTGGCACCATCCAGTGCATCCCCCTCCCCTGGCAGTGTGACGGCTTGGTGACTTGTGAGGATAAGAGCGACGAAGCCGACTGTCCAGGTGAGTGTGTCGGGCAGGCAGACGCACATGGCCCGTGCTTCCCGTCGGGGGGAGATGGTGTCAACTGGTACCCTGTGCTGTAGCCATGTGCTGGAACATTATTTCGGGCTGACCCTCTCCCCTCTCTTTCTCTCTCTGTCTTTTTAAAAAATAGATGCCTAACACAGGTAGATCTCAGAACTCGTAAGATAGAGTCAGGGCTGCGGTGAGGCAAGAGAGGCACCTGGGGTGCCACATTTCGGGAGGTCCTGCTGGCCCCAAGAGCAGCGCCCTGTACTCTGGTGGCCTCTTGCCTCCGCCTCGCCTGGCTCTGGGGGTAGGCGCCTTTGCGACTCGGCTAGAATCCTGACGAAGGTCATTTAGACTGGCCTTTGGCTCTGCCTTTCTGTCCTGCTCACTCAGTCACTAGTTATCTTTCACTTGGGGGTTTTCTCCTGGTGATGCGTATGCTCCTGAAGATATGCAGATGTCAGAGAAAGTCTGCGTTGCTCTCTCTTCCCTTAGTTTCTGCTCCGGCACCCTCAAGGAGTGTAACACCCCTCATGAGTAATGGCGTTCAGTACATCCCTGGTTTTCGACTTGCGTTGGGGTAGATGGGGCAGCATCGCGTGTGTGAGAGAGACAGACACACACACACTAATGTGTTTAAGACCCAAGTGGTCCTGATAAAGCCCCTAAGAGGAAGGCATGGCTTACTCCAGCATTAGAATCTTAGACCTAAACTCTGTGGCCTGGGATTTCTTCATAGTCTGGCTTGTTTGTTTTTTGCCAACTTGCTTTATCACTATTTCCCCTTCAGTGACTCAGCTGGGCTGTTTCCTATACTGCCCACTCCATTAAGAATTTCCTAGCCATATGCTTCATTTATGCCTCTCTTTTTTCCTGGAATACACCTGTTTTGTTTCTTCATGGACAGATCCTGCCCATCCTTCAAGACTTGGTTAGATGATGCTCCAGCAAGAGGGCACCTCTGGGCTCTCTGGCTGTAGGCTGGCTTCTGCCAACACCAGCTCTGTCCTTCTCTGACAGCACATAGAACTGCTGGTAATTCTCACCATCACCTGTGCCCGTACTTGATCTCTCTTTCCAGACTGAGCCCCCTAAGGGCAGGAGACCTGTCTTCTTCTTCAGGGGGAGGGACTTGGCCTAGAACAGGGGTTCTTTTCAACATTCAGTAAGTGAAAAGAGCGTTGTAATTCCTGTAGGCCAGGTGTTAAAGAAAACTCAGTTAACTCTAACCGAGGGGATCAGGTAGGACATCAAGTAGAAAGTGACATTCGAGCTTGGGACAGTTCTTTGAGGGGAGGGTTTCAACATAAGAAATGAGGTGGTCTGGTCGGCCTGTATTTGCCTATAAAGATGACCCCTATAATGAAATCTGGATCCTGTTCTTCTTGAGCCTGTTCTTCATTGAATTGTTCATGTCTGTGGTTGAGACATTGCCTTTCCAAACGAGTTTGAATGGTGGCAGCTGGGTCAGGAGCCTCTGGGACAGCCCTGTGTCTGGGAGCGTCCCCTGGCCTGACTTAATAGGGTGAGACTTTATATCCAGCCTCCTAGAGAATTTTCTAAACAAAGACCAAATGGTTCTTGGCTTGTTTTAAAGTGGAAGCACAGCTTATCTACTTCTCAAAGCACCTTTTGATTTAGCTTGTAAGGTTGTGTGTAATAACTGACCTGTTATAGGCACTGAAACTATGGTAGGTACTCTTATGGTTCATCTTGTTCATCTGTCCTTGTGCTGTGGATGTGCTGAAGGCAGTGACTAGATCTGTTTTCTCTTTTGGGTCCTGTGGTTGGCACAGAGAATTACAAGTCCACTCAGCACAAGTGTTGACTTGAAGTTACGTAAGTTTCTGTATTTTCTCCCCAGACAGAAAAATAAAGTCTATTCTACAGGAGCCGAGAGTTCTGAGTGGATGGCGTGCTCCTGGCCCCCACCACTGAGGGTGCGATGATAATGACAGTGTATGTGAACTCACTGAGGCTAGTGATCTGGTGTGCTGGAGGAGGAGCGAGGAGGCTGAGGTTCT